CCAAACGTGAGTACCCCAGGCCATTTCCGTTACATTATATTTGAAAAGTTTGAACTAATTTGAACTAACTATTGAACCTTTGACTTGCATTCAAGCTTTTAGAGAGAGATTTGGAAACGTTAAATTTGAACATTACTTTAATGCTCCTATCGTTATTTCAATAACGATGACCATAAAAAGCCGACCAAGAGAAGAAAAATTTTTGAAACGCTTAATTTGAACTTTTTAAACCTGAAAATAAATTCTCCCTTTTCATTTTCAACACATCTTGATGAGTTTCTATCAAATGCCTCACACATGGAGAAATAAAGAAAGAAAGAGAGAACAAATATGACTTTTTTGTAAAATATTCAGGAGCAGTTTACTTTATTTTGGTCACCAGGAAGCAAAGAGTAGCAGTACATTTTTTCACGGTAAAAAAGCTGAACTTTTAGCTTTACTTTTAAAAAATCATGTTGATGGCGCCCCCTACAAAGTAGAGTTAAGTTAATATAAATGTAAAATTTTTAATTCAAAACCCCCTAAATACCAAATTTCAACAATACATTGGCAGTATTGAGAAAAGAGAAAATTATAAGAAAAAAAAACAAAAATGAGATTAAAATTTTAACCCAACTGTATCTTGGAAACTGAACTTTCGGACTGATGTTTATGGGAAGTTTTTCTCATAAAATGACCTAAGAAGTCACGTCCTTAACTATTGCCGCGTCATTTTTAAACATCCTGGAGCAATTTTTTTCTATTTTGGCCAAAAAGCAGCAAAAAGTAGCAGCGAGTTCTTTAACCACGAAAAAGCTGGATGTAGTCTGGTTAATAATAATACCTATAGTATGTACGCTATAACTTTGGTCGTACGTCATCAAGCGTCGGTCGAGCGTTGTTGCCATACTCGCCATAAATTATGTATATCAACATAAATACTAGAAGCATTCTTAAATTATCTCAATGCTGTCTCGCTTTTGCCGATTATTCTTTATGGAATMATGGCWTATTTGAGAAGCACATATATACCGTCAACGCAAAAGTCATGGACAAGTACATGACAAATGCAACCAGCAAACGTCATGTGTTATTAAAAAAATYCGACAAATCTAAATTCGACAAATCTACRATAGATTCGGCAGCATTGCAATTTTCACSAAGCTAATAATTTTAAAGATGAACATAAATAAWCAACATCGCTTTAAATTCGGTAGTATTCTAAAGTTTTTTGGTATTTTATGATTGCTTGAGGTTCTCCAATGCCTAAAACACCACAAAAAAGATTCGACGTATCACACAAATTTCAGGCATAATTGATTTTATTTAGTCAAATGTCGTCACTGATGACGTGCGACCAAAGTTATTGTCTACAGACTATATAAAAACTTGGCTGAATTCAGGAAAATAGCCAACTAAACCTCTCTGTTCAAGTCATACTTGCTGTTTTCTGGATGATTTTTTAACTTTCTATAAAATTTAAAAAACTACTAGTTATAAAGACCGCTGTTTAAAAATTAATATAATATGTTAAAATGCACACCTGCAGGTTGCTCATCCATCTTAAATTGGGGCCCAGTTTGTATGTAAAACGGACACAGTATCGAATCGAAAAAATCAGAATTAATTTAAGATTTGCGACGTTTTTATCTTTGACGTAAAATGACATCCAAATGCTTGACAACGCAGAGTAAACTAGTATTGTGTCGACTTGTCATTTATGAGTTTTATGTCAGTTTTATATTGTCAATACCCCAGTGTGCGACGTATCGTAACTTCTAAGTTCTTCCGGATGGAATTTACGTTGTTTTTGAAATATTTAGTTTATAAATTTACAAAATTAGAAAATTCTGTTAAGTGATTGTATTAAAGTGAATTCAGATTTTAGTTCTCTCTCAAGAAACAGTTCTATTCAATGTTTGTTCATTGTTATTCAAAAATTGGGTTCTAGTTGGCTACTTCATCCATGAAAGCATTCGCTATCAACCCAAACTAAACCATATAAATCGTTCCACCCAACAAACTGTGAAACAATATAATAAATAGGCTTCAATTAGATAGGAATGAATTCGCCACAACGGAAAGTCGTGTGCTTATTAGAGCTCAAGGAAAAATCTATAATCATATCTATACGGAGGTATCATCCTTACTTTCTGCATTGTGTAACGAATATCGTGAAAGCCCCAACTATTAAAGCGGTGCAATAATGTGTTCGAGTTACAGGGTGTTACAAAACTGGCTACAATTAACATCGCATAATAAGTTAAATTGCTACAGAATGTTTGCATGTGTAGTAAAAGAATGTTTGTTTGCTGCGAAGGAATCTCTACTGCTATCTCTATCTATGGTCGCTAACATGACGGTACTACCATTTTTGTTTGAAAGTGGAAGGAAGCATCATTAATAAACTTCAAAACTCGTTGCTTCACCATGTAGATAAACGAAATAAGTGTTTAAAGTGGCGCTCTTCACACAGATGAGACTAGAGTTTGGTGGTAAGAGTCGGGTGCTCTAATACAATTAGATTTGTATCGGTAGCACGAGTGATTCCGTGGTAAAACAGAAGACTGAGTTCAACAGGTCAGTTTTCTGTAGTGCATTCAACGAACAGAACAGCCCTGTGATCATGATAACGGGGTCTGCGCCTGTAAAAGTAAAAATGACATGGCCGACACTGCTGCATGTAATCTCTGATATTTATGTGTGTATGATCTTGGTATATCTCGTTTTTAACAGTAATTAATCTGCATGCTCTTAAAGATGTTACCAGTATTTTTACTTTCAACGAAATTCATGACTAAACATTGTTGATTTACTCGTCGCGTTTATGCGCTCGTCCAAATAAAATGATCAATCCTCGTGTTGAAAATATTGAAATATCGAATTTATTAGGTTCGCCTTTGGTCATTAGCTGAATTGTCGAGAACTGTTTAGCATTATCAAAGATAACCAGAGTAAAAGTGTTGTGTATCCTTCTCTGTCCCTTTGTTGACGCAAATACCTGCTCCACCAGCATTAATGCCATCAGATTCAAAACCTTGGCATGTTCTCTTAACGAGAATTTGTAATTCCTAGACCGTTTTTCTGCTGAAATGTATTTTTAATCAGTTAAAAGAACATCGTATGTAAGCATTATCATGATACACGCCAGGTCAGTGTTCCCAGTTAGTTGAGGCCAAATTTTTTTTATCATAAACCATTTTCTGCAAAAGCAATGGCGCTACGGGACTAGAGCAGAATACCAAACAATCAAAACGGTATATGCGGCGAGTATTAATATTAATGTCAAGCATTTCATCGCATAACTTTTCCAACACAAGGACATTTTTATTGGATATGGCGTTTGAGATGTGTGCAAAGAAAACATTTGGAAGCGTCCGAAACATCATTCAATCGCCGCGCTCTTCAATCAATAAATCGCGAAATCCACGCAAAACTACTTGAATACTCCTCATCCAATAAATAGTTTTCCGTTATCAATCCTAAACAAGCCAGGACTCCGAACGAAAATAGAATTACTGCCTATAAAATGGACAGAAAACCGTGTATATTCGTCCCGTTGAAGGATGTATTTTGGTAAGACTGGTTTTATCAAAACACCCACCTTGCGAAAACGGCCTGTTAGGATGGAATTTTAATGTTACATCAGATTTGAATAAATATTGTCCCTCGTTCCATTAAAAATGCATTTTTACGGTCTTTTATCAAATGATTCACCTTACAGGATGCAACAAGCAAGCACCTTTTCTGCATTAACTTTTTGCTACAATCAGACAGCCTTTCTTGTCCACTTCAGACTGTTCAACATGTTTTATTAAATTTCATCTCGCTCGACTCATGATTATACATATATCGACTTTCAAAGCTAATTGTCGAATGTGTTTCAATGTTGCTGCTCACTGAAATCTGGTTCCTCCTGTATAGTGCTACCCGCTGACATTATTTGGTTCCATTGAATTTTTAAAGGTCTTCTCAAATGACACAACAAAATTATTTGCCACATAATTTTGCCCAGGTACACTGGTCGATGGATGAAAAGGTTTAACGGCCCATAAAAAAGATAGCCCGATGAAAATTTTGACAGTAGTCGGTTTCTTGGCTAAAAAACGCCATATAAAATGATATTAAGCCGTTAAATAGCATGTTCTTTAAATCAACGAGTTGTGGTAATTCCGTTTATTGCTCTGTTTTTCTTAGACATTGAATTCACAATTTTTTCATGTTCCAAGGCGATGGTGAGAACAAATGAGAAAAATGTCGGATTAGAAGATATGCTGAACTAATCGACAACCTTGCGCCATTCTGTACCAATCAACACGACTTAATGCTGGCAAGATCTTCATTTAAATGCCTATTGAATAAGACAAATATTTGTTTATTATTATTAACAATGGCTATTCGTCTTGGCAATCATTGCGCTACAGGTAACTCGAAAATCAAGCAATAAGCGTTGCTATTGTTGGCTTTCTAGAATAACCTTTGACTTCATATAATCTTCAGCTTGTTAATGTGCGTAAGAAGAGTAATTATTCAACAGGCGCTCTGCAACTGAAAAAATATTCAATCTGGCTTAGCAAAGCAGGAATTTATATGAGAATTAGCTCCTGAATAGAGCAAAGTAGGGCATAGGCTGATGTTGCTTCAATTTAATAAATTCTCATAAATTTTGTGTTTAACCATTAAGGTAATGTTGAATCACTTGACCAGCAAAATAACACAGGCGTTATATGGGCACTGCCACTGATGCATTACATAACCAATACAAATGCAAAATAGAGTTCGCCGTCTTTTGGCAGCTTTATGTTCGAATAAATTTATGTCAATTTTATATGTTGGCATAGTGTTTAGCTCCTATAGAGCAAATATATTCGACTTAATTTTATTAGATGCTGGATTGGTAGTTAAACTGTGCGTGGGGTCATGTCACCGTAATATATTCTATATATAATCTTTCATATCATTGCATCTTTTGTTTCACGAGCTATATGGTAGAGAACGCCGCTACCTTATATAGTATTTACCTTATATAGTTTTTCGCGATGATACCAAACGTCTTCTTCCTCCTCTGGCGGCTGAAAGTTGGAGTCCATGTGCAAGTCATCTCGTGACCTGGACAAGATTTTGCGCCTGGATACCATTTCAGATGGAGTAGCTGGCAATGGAGCCTCTAGAGATGGAATGCTGCAATAAGACAGGAATTTTAGCAGTTATCACTTGTCGCAGCTACGACTGAGAAAAACCAGCTAAAATTGGTGACAATTGCGTTATTACTGATTGCAATAATTTAAAAGAATGATAAGCCAAACGGAAGCAATTTTTGCGCTTGTAAAGACAATTTTTTTCAGATCGTTTTTGATTCATTCCTTGCCTCAGCCGTCGGTTTGTTTTCTATGTGCGCAATTTTCTCATCCACTTTGCGCTTCCAACATGTTGATGCCGGGAAATTATATTAAAAAAGTCGGTTGCATTGATCGACAAGGAGAAACAACATACTAAAGCGTTACAAGTGTTTAAGTCGAAGACGTCTCACAACACCTTATTAAAGTGAAAGTCTAGCCTAAGGCAAGGCAACACCAGATGAGTTCCATTAAAATTTTTTATCTCTTGTAATAGCCAGTGGATGGTAGCGGAAGGTAGTGCCATCGACGTTTCGTTTATGAATTTGCAATTAATTTTTAGAAATTAGAAATTACAACTGCAAATCCGTACGCTTCAGCATTGTCTGACGATAATTCAATTAGGTATGAATAGTGTCCATCTGAGGACCAAGTGAAATGCACAGTTCTAAGTGTATCGAATGCAGCCTGCCACAAACAGTGCTCAGGTTTCAGTTGATCTTTAGTGGTTTGGAGAAATCGGTTTCTACATGTTAGAAGAAATGCATTTACTTTATCTTCGTATAGAAATCCCGTAATAGGGTTTACGGATTACGCAACGTTATTTGATATGGTCGATTCGACTGAAATACTAGAGAGTCATTGGACGGTCAATAAGGACATGCAGTAATAACGTTAGTGGTATTTTGACACATACGCTTGCGCAATTGAGTCTAAAAATAAGGGATCCCTTAATAAGGATACTGTGCTTTGCTAATTGTGCAGCAGCAATACTGTACAGCTTTATTTCTACCTTAAACTGGCAGTTGACATTTCTAACGCCCGCTTGCAGGTTTTACGTTGTATTTATAACCCAGTTGCGATTTCTACGTTCTCTTCGTTAAAGAAATGAAGCCAATGCACCATTAAAATAAGAATTAACCTTATTACTGCATGACAGTATTTATAATTTCCAATAGCTCTCTGCTGTTTATGTACTTAAAGCATTTATGAAGACTTCAAAAAATCTCCAAATATTATTTCATCCGGTTAAATGGTGCTGAGATGATGATCTGGGCCTGTTATGGCACAAGCAACAAACATATCCAATTGTTTAGCTAACAGCTGTTGTGCTGAAGACTTGATACCGAGAACACTTCCATATCAAGTACCGGTGATTGCTGTAATAATTAGCATGAAAAAACTGGCAGATGCATTAGTCACAACCTTTGACATTGAGGTACTACCTTACGACATTTCAACGCATATTTATACCCATCTTCTGATGTAACTGGCATAGGCAGCGCAAAGACATACCCACGCGATTATTTATTCTAAAAGTGTTTTTGTAGAGAATTATAATACTTTGAACGGTACTACCGCCATTGAATTTTATATGGCTTTGCAAGCAATAAAGTTTGAACTAAATAACTTGAATTGAAGTACAGTTTTTGGGTTTTTTTTCGATGAGTTCACTTAGATACATATAAATTAGGTTGCCAGTATTTATACAACCACAAGCATTTTACTGTTCTTAAGCTAGTTTGATACGGTATTAGTGGAGGTGAATTCCACACATACGCCAGCAAACAATAGTTGATCCATTCGACATTTAAGCTGTAAAAAATGTGTTGATTTCTGTGAATGGTCTACCTACCCAAATATTTCCAACATCCTTCTACTAATGAATGCAAAAATGCCATTGTATGGGCGAAAATACAGATCAGGAAGTATCTGAGAGCCGCGCCAAAAAAATATCGCATTGCAAAACATCAAAACCCGATCAATTGCCTTGAAAGAAACCTTGGGATAGTTTTGAATAAACCATTTTATGGGAAAGGTATTGCAATACTTTTTACCGGATTTGTCTCAGGACAGCAAGAGCTCCAAAATCGACGTCCGAGTGCGGTACCAGTAATAAATGTGAATAACCCAGCAGTATGGTCACTTAGTCGCAATTTTTATTCTCTTAAAGAGCATTGACATGCTTGATAAAAACCTAAGCGTACTAGCAGAAATACTCGTCGATCGAAAACCAAAATCATCGTCATCTTCTTGCTATCCCTTTGTTATAAGTCATCTCAAAAATGTACGGTGATATTTTGTGGTTTCGACTATAACCCACGACTGAATAACATCATTATTATTATTTTCGGATTTTACCATTTCGAATGGAAAACATAAAAACACATAAGGATGACTAAATCTTTACAGTTCAGTCATTCAACCCGTTAAGTAAAGAAGGCATGTAGGTTTAACTGGTTGAAATTTGAAGATTTCTGAAAAATCGGCGATTTTATTATGGTTGTTATCGAGTGGTCTTGGTATAGGCGTTCCAAACACATTTTCCTCACTTATGGATGTCTGATATCTATTACTTTTAGTTTGCAATCAACAGGGACGTATCTAGTAGATATTGATTGGCTCTTAAACAACTTTATTGTCCAATATAAAAGCATAGCAAATATATATTAATTAAAAGCAAACTATCCGCAAAGAAAGGCAAAAATATTTCTACAACGCTCCTCGTTAAGCTCGAGTGCAAAAAAATTAAAACCGCTGCTTTTGAATGAAAGTTCACATTTTGCTATGTAGAGCTCACTCCTGTTCGGCAAGTCACATAAGTATACTAGGCAGATCTGAGCAACTTTCTTACGTCATTTAATTGCCATGTATTTAAGGATCTTTCTTCAAATTCGTAGGTAGTTGTTCTACCCATATTTGCCACCACTAAGGTCAATATACTCAATGCCAGAAAATGTGATATTTGGCTTTTAATTAAAAACATTTACTCGACAGGTCTGAGTTAGTTCAAAAACGCTCTAACCAGGAAAAAATCTACCAATCAAAAATTCTATTAAGTGAATGCAGGTTTTTCATTGTTGAAGGTATTAAGCAATAAAACAAAAAACTGTTAATATTTAAGCGCGTATCTAAGGCGCGAAAAATCTATATCGGAAGTCAGTGATCCCGCTGCTTTATTATAAGCTACTTTTAACTATAATTCAAACTTTAAGAAGTTCAACTTTGGACAATGGGGGATTTGGTATGTTTTGTGCGGCAATTTGTAGAAGATGTTGAAGGGTTTTTTGTGCCCGCACAATGCGATTGTTTCCTGAGCAAGTTCAAATTATCAAAAATATTATTGCCGTTAACTAATTGCCTTTAGCTTCTACTATTGCAGTTAATTCGGGCTAGTTAAGAAATCTGATGTTATTAATATTACTATGTGCAACAATAAGATTAATTTGTTTAAGCCACCTCAAGTGGGTTATTATCAAAAAGCGGCAAGCGGATGATTTATTGAGGCTTCCAATACGTTCCTGTGTCAGTACAAGTTTTTTGGTATCGTCTAGATCTTGATAAAGATCATGTTTTTATAACCCAATTGGCAGTAGAAATCTAACAGTGAGCAACACAATGTCGATACATCAATTGACTGCAGAAGTTTCTAATTAAATTTAAGCTTTAAACGCATAGTCATAAGCGCAGTTGAACAATTTTTGAGAAGCGCCCATTCCGTAAGAACCACAAAGAATAATCATCTTCCACCAGAGATAGACATTTAATAGTTGGGCGGATGTTTCAAAACTTCTTTTTGTAAGAATCAGGGACAATACCAGCGCATCCTTTGTATAGTGGGTTCATTATGTGTCGTAAATTAAAATCTGATTTTTTAATTAACTCTGGCCCACTTTGAGTTTTCCTTGCCAAATTTAGTCAGCTTACAGAATAGGCCAAGCACACTGAGGAGTTTGTTAGATCAAAAATTATCCACCGAAGTAAAGTGGTGGTGTTAAAATGTCTGAACTGAAAGCAATTTGATTCCATCTATTAAAATGTTATCAAGTTATAACAAAGCAACGCAAAGTCATTTTAATTTTCTTTGCTACCTTTTGCCGCTTTGAATCCAATTTTCATTTAAAATCGGTAGCCTCACTCATAGTTTTCAATGTTATCTATAAAAACTTAAAAATGCTTAAAGATGCTTAAAAAAGCGTCGACGATAACATTGAACTTCGATGTAATTTAATTGATCAATTATAAAAAGCCTCCTGTATCAAATGCAAGATGATTTCAACTGCAAAGTGAAACTGAATGCTTTTTTACCGCGGATATAGTTTTTCAAGCCACCACGATTTGTTTCATCTGAATCAAATAAATAATTGGCGATACTCTTTATAACGAGTACGTGAAATCGATAGAAATTGTCCTAATTTCGGCATGCAGAGACAGTCATTAGCGTTTATACAATGAGCGCTTTATGATACACCTAGAAACCGTATGCGAACTTGTACGATTGCTAGCCTGGGGTGATAACAGATTTTCGAGTCTTAAGAACAATTTTATGCACAGAAAATTTATTTCAATGGAATTAGAAAGTTACGTTGCCATAATGTGTATGCAGGTAATTTAAGCTGAGTTGTACGCTGCGCTGAAGAAAGTGATGGTAAAGTTACAGCGAGGAAAAACAGTAAATTTTATTGTCAATATGCATTAATATGATGCTCATTCTGAGTAAATTTCTATTTAAAAAAAGGTTTGAGAAAGGATCTTTGAACTTTTTTGCATCGTGTGTTGTGCTTTTTTAACCAAGGTGATCAAATTATGTATCTGGGACAAACGCTAGCGATAGATGCCATTATTTCACGCACCAAGTTCCCAAATAGCCTAACAGGTCGTACCGTTGTTTTATCGAATGTAAGGTGCATCAAAATTCAGAATTCGTCAAATTAAAATTCCGAACGTATCGTGCAATACCATTTTCTTCAAGTGACCGGCTGCATTTTAAGTACTTTTCGGGTCTGGATTCTTATTCGTTAATACTCAGAATTGGAAGATATAAATAAAATATACACCTGCTTA